AAAACCAAACCAAAAACCATTGCTTTTAGTCCCCACTCTGCAACCTCCATATCACCCACTGAGTAATGCCTTTCTAGTGCAGGACCCTTGGGAATCCTGCAGTGTCCCTTGTAAGGAAAAGGCAGAGAGCAGTTGGGTCAGAGAAAGCTGTCTGGGGCTTATCACATCTGGCAATGACTAAAGAAAGGGTGCACAACACACTCTACCAGATGTTGATATCCTCATCTCATTATGATTGAAAGAATAAAATTATGATCTCACCGAGAGATCCTAAACGTCCTTAGGTTTTGTGGAAATTAAAACACCAAGCTGACTGTGAATCCCACCCACACTCTTACAGGGCACTCAGTGTCATACGATTTAATTTCAAAGTCTGCAGTCTTTTTGGTGTGAGATTTTTCTATGGATTGCTAGACCTAAGCGAAGCCCAAGTTAGAGACCATGTTTCACATCACAGTTGGGTAAGTGAGAATTCGTGGGTACAAATCATAATCCCTTCTATACTTGGGGCTCTGGAACCTTCCTTAAGGGGGCAGCAGTGTTCCCTCAGTCCTAGGACTTAGAAATTAAAACAAAACAACAACAACAACAAAAAAGCAGAGTATTATGAGGAGGTGAAAATATACAAGTTGGTTGGAGACCTGCAAAGGCCACCAAACAAGAAACTAAATCAGGGCAGAGAGTATCCTGAGAAAGACGTTTCAGGCTTGAATGGGGGGTGGGGAATAATGACACCCTCAGTGGGGAGGTGATATTTTGGTCCTGACGTGTCAAACACATGCTAGTGTCTAGAGTGAGAAACAGGCTAGGGAAGAAGGAAGGCTGAGAGGGAAGACGGATGTATCAGGAAAATAATTAGGGACTTCACTTAATGGAATAGACCGGCTAGGGTCTTGCTACCCAGAGTGGCCCATGGACCAGCAGTGTCAGCTTCTTGGGAGAACTTATCAGAAATTCAGACCCTCCGACCTCACCCCAAACCCACTGGAGCAGAATCTGTATTTTATCAAGTCCCCAGCTGACTGATTTGCAATTAAAATCTCAGAAGCAGTGGGCCAGAGCATCGGTTGAACTCTGGGGATATTTCTGCTAATGTGACTTTAGGCATTGCTGATGCTTCGAGTGTTCCAATAAACAGTGGGCTTGAATATTAAAACAAAACCATTAACTCTGCTGCCTCTGGTGATGTTGAAATATCAGAAGCCCTTGGCTTAGGACAGTGATACTTTTACTGGGGACATTTCAAGAATGGCAACAGAGGGCTGGTTTAGAGTGTGTCATACTAAAAAGAGCCCTGGTCAGGGGTCAGAGCATTGAGGTTCTAGTTTTATGTCTTCATAGCTCTGTGATTTTAGGGAAACTACCTCCTTTCTGAGCCATACTTTGCAAAATCCCAAATTATATCCCTAAATGAAAACAGGGAGACTCTGTATTGACCCTTAGTTTCTGGCCTCCTGCCTTGTGTGTCATTTCTAAGCAAGAAGCTTGGGTCGAGGGCGGTGGGCACTACCTGGCTCAGAGCTCACGCTCATGGCACCTCCAGGACTGAGCTGCTGGATTCTCCCTTACACTGTCACTCGTCCTGCCCTCCCTGTACTTTTACCCCAAAGAATCTCATTAGCAGATAATTTCACAAAGGGCAACCACACTGCTTAGTATCCAAGCAGTACTAAGTAAATGGAGGCTACTACTATGTAATACTATGATTAGTTTTATTATCATTGCTAGTATTATTATTATTATTATTATTACTGCCTTTCTGTGCTTACTTTGTTAGATTGACCTGACAGGGAATATAATAGATGATGAATAAAATATGATTGCATCATCAGTAATCAGAAAATAACAAATGTAAAAATTTCTAACAATGGAGAAGGGACCAAGTAGAAATGAAGATACATCAAGTGAATAAGGCAATAGGACGTGGTGAAGACAGAGAAGGACAGGTGCACTTCCTGGAAAAAGACCACAGCGTAGGCTACCTACTCACTGGTAAACCCTCCATCACATGTCCTGATACACCCTGGAGTGACCTGGTTCACACCCTCTACTGAATTAAAGTCCCTGAGTTGACAAACAAGGGGTTGAGTAGGGCTGATACCGGCTCCTGTGGCCAGAGTTCACTCTGGTCTGTCAGTGCCTGCACCTGCCTGGTTGGTACCCAGGACATTTTGATTGTTAAATGCTTCTATCTCTACAAACAAAGTTTCCAGTGAATTCTCAAAACCCATTTAGCACTGGCCAAATTTTTTAAAAAAACATTCATTTATTCATTTCACGGATGTGTGCATGTGTTCAATTGATATTTACTGACTGCCTGATACAAACCAGCCTGGTATGAGTCATTCTGGTACAGACAAAAGCTAACATGGTCCTACCCTCAAGGAGCTCAGAGCCAAGGCATCAGGCCAACAGATGTAAAATGTGGATATCTTAGCATTGCGGAGACTCAGATCAATGAGAGTCAGGTTTTTGGTGCCTAAATCTGCACAATCTAGCACTGAGGGAGGTCTGCCTTGGTTCAACGTGATTTGCTCTCCCAGGCATGCTCTGGGTTCTTAAGAGCTAAAGTGTTGTATTTGGGGAGATTTCTCCCCATCTTCACTTGAAGTCCTACTTCATTTCCACAGCTGTCCCATCCCATGTGTTTTAAAAAGGAAAGGAGAACTATGTGAAGTCACCAAAGGCAAAGATAAAGCAAGATGTCATTACTCAGGATAGCTGTGATGAGCCAACAACTCTCCAATTTTAACATTAGAAAAGATTCATCTTTTGGAACATGTTTCACCCACCAGCTTATTATGACATATTCACTGTGTGCACACTCAGTCAACCAAAAGCTTCTTCCTTTTTTATCAGTGAATATCTAATCATAAAAGCACTTAAAGAAGATCAATTGGAATCTTAAATTGGGTCAACACCTCCAAAACTCATCACAGGCGAGACTATCCAGCTATTATTTTATGTTGATTTGAGCTGATATAAATTTAAATTATTTCAATACTTTCTAACTAGATATAGTTCTAGCCATTATTTATTTCTAATGTATTTCCCTCTTTTTTTTTCTCGTAATAAAGGACTTCTCTTTTTTTGGAAATTGCTCCTTTCCCATTAAAGCACTCATCAGTAGGTAGAACTGACTGTATTCCTTGGCTGCAGGGCTTGCATAAACAGGGCTGTACAATTAGACTCAAAACCGTTGAGAAACAGGCTGTCTGGTTCATTAGCAACTTTATCATTAAGTATCACAAAGAGCTTAGCATTGCCAGGGGCTACCTTTTGCCCCTACAAAGAGCTATATGAGAATGTAGCCAGTATGGAAAGAAACAGAGCCAAGAAATGCTTAGAATGATGGATTGTTTGTAGAATTGGTTCAATCCCTGAATCCAACAGATTGGGTTCTCATGGAGCAGACGCTTACACTAAGTTTGAGATAAACACTTTTAATCAGTGATTAAACCCAGTGAAAGGAAGGATGTCAAAGGGGATGGGGAAGAGAAAGGAACCGAACTATGATGTGGTCCAGTGGAGACTTGGCCATCATGGCGGGAAGGTCTAGACTAAACACCGCCCATCAGACTTGGCCAGCATTGGGCAGAAATGGCTGACCCTTTCTAACCCTGCCTTGCTCAGTCACCGGATGTGGGCTGCCTCAGGAAGTGGCTCTCTGCAGCTGGGGAAGACCAGGGAGGAGGAGAGTGCTAAAGGTCATCTGCTGACCCTACACTCTAGTGAGGCAGCAAGTCCTTCTGGGTGGCACTTCTCTTTGTAAACCACACAGCTCTACTGGAAGTCATTTGATCATCCCAATTATGTGAGCCGGTAAACTCCTCATTTTCTTCAAGCCATTTTGACCTCAGTAACTTCTATTTGCAATCAAGAGACTCTAGTGCTTCCTTTCAAAGTTAAAGTTCCTCTGGAATGCCAACATTCCAGCAAGACATAGACTGGGGAACACAATTTAAGCCCGCACCAGTCCACAAGGTGGCAATCATATCTGTTAATCATGCCCCAAATCTGCAGTCTCCAGACTGCTCACATATTTAACATGGCTGAAGATGGGAGATATTTGTTTTATAGGGCTAAGAGTTGTGATTAAAGATGGCAAGTCTTTGAGGGACAAGTACTTTGGTTTGTATGCCATAGAACAAATAAAGTCCAGCATATTTACATTTGAATAAGCTTTACCATGATGGGAAGCAGACCTCTCCGTTTCCCTTCTGGTCAGAAAGAGCCACTCTAACTTGCTTATCTCTCAGTAATGTGGTTTGTTTCTCTGAGATCAGTGATTTATACATTAATAATGCCCTTTTCGTTCTGCAAGTGACCAAGTTTGCAAGAGTGAGCACCAGAGGAAAATCCAACCAGCACTCCAGGCACATACTGGGGAGCTAATTAAATTATTTTCATATGTGCCAAAGTTCATTTTCACTTTGGGTAGCTATCTTGTTAAGCATCTGAATTTCTAGCAGTATTTCAATTTATACCAATGTAGCATAAAATTTGCAATTCCGACAGCCCAATGAGAATGATGTGAATATACACACACATATCATTTTCATATATATATTTTATATATATATATAGGTCCAATGGTACATATTAATAAATGTGGATGTGTGTGACAGAGAGGGAGAGGAAAAGAGAGAGAGAAACTGCAAAGACTCCAATTTGTGTCATGGTCCAAAACTAAGTAACAAACGATAATGATGTAAGGATAAAATGTTGCTCAGCACTGTTAGGTAATCGAAATGAATTTGATCTTGTTTGCCTTTAAAACGCTCCTTGTTGGAATGAGTCAATTGTTTATAAACTTCTCTGGGTCGACTATTCTTTTGCAGAGTTTCTCATATTCCCACTCAGCTGACAGAATCCAATACTTGGGTTTATCAACTTTCCCGGGGTAATTTGCAGAAGCAATAACAATACAAACGCTGTAGGCCTTGCCCTGGAACTCACTCAGCAAGCACGGACAGCAGCAGCAACTGAGCACCACTCACCTCCAGAGTGTGGGGGGGGTCCGCAGAGCAGCACGACACCCTGGCCTTCGCGCACGGACACCGTACTTCTCATTTTGGTTTTAAAATTCTCCAGATCTGATTTGAAAACAAAAGAAGACTGCATCTCAGAAAGAACAATAAAATTAAAATTTTTTTCACCAAGACGTTCTTTTCTTTTGGGAAACGATTCCTAAGTCTCTTTTTCAAGAACCTCAAGAGGAGAACAGTTGCTTTGAAGTAGAAAAGCTGCATTCTGATTTCTTTATTAAGGCGTGTGGACATTTAGCAATACAATAGAAATATATACCCACTGATCCCACGTTGTTGGAATAGTATCAAAAATGGCAATGGACTATCTATCCAAAAAGGCAAGGCATATAGCAGAATGAACTAACCAGACAATACAATTCAAAGGAAAAATTGGAATATCCTGAATAGAAATATACATAAATATGATTTCCTTGTCTGCATGAGTGATTCAACATTCTCATGAAGACTTTTAGGTTTACCTTGTAATAAAGACCAAGTTTCTTGAATTTTTCTCCTAAAATATTTTTTCTAGATAGCTTACTATAGCCATATTTATTGTGTATTTATTGCTGTCATTTACAAAAATATTTGAAAATATTCACTTTTGGGGACAAATCCTATTTGTCCCATGTCCTCAAGGGCTCTGTAAAGATATATATCACTGGAAATTACCAAATAAGTAGAATTCTAAGGATAAAAGTAAATTCTCATATTCCATTTTATTTATAGCTGCAAAAAATATAAATTATTTTTATAACTTCCCAAAGTATTTTTCTCAAGTGCTTAATGAAATTTAAAAAAAAATACCAATCAAGGCCAGATACTATTAATATTTTGATTACCAAGTTATTTTTAGAAAACATTTAATCTCTTCTAATAACAATCCAGGGCAGCAAATGCTGGTTCATACTTTCCAGTTTAAATTACAGTAGAGAGAAAATTCTATTGACTTCATTTTTTGAAACGCTTAAGTCTATGGGGAAAAAGAAAGAACAAATCTACTGTTTCTCTAAACTTCCACTTAAAAAAAATGCCTCTGAATTATGCAGTTAATATACTCCATGGTGTCACTTTCTGTATCAGAACAATTGTACTGTCAATTTCTGAAAGAATATACTCATATCATAGCTCTTCAGGGTTGATATAAATTGCCTAAGTGGTGACTATGCACAGTGAGGCAGTATATGGATTTTAGAAGACAACTTGAAAAATTTCAACTTTTCTTTGAAAAATGTAAAAAGCAAAATAATTATCATCAGATTGATAAAACCACAATTTGCAGACACTCATGGATATTCTAAGCACCATAAAGCAGAACATCAGAGGGGAATAAGAAGGCCTATGTGCCTCTTTTTATTGTTACTGAAAACAGTTTTAAATTGGTAGGTTATAAGCATGGAGGTAAAGTAATTCAGCAAAGCTGACATTACGTTTGCCCAGAAAAGATGACAAAATTGTGGTTATGGACTTATTTTAACCATAGGTTACCCTATAGAAATGATATGATAACATAGCATTGCATCATCTTAAATCTGTAACTAAAATGCAACATTCTCAAAACATTAAGGCTCTTGAAGTGTAACTGAGTTGGAATTACAAAATCAGACCATCCAAATGTTTCCCAATGGCTAAATGGGGACACACATCATATCAGAATATATTCTATACATGGAAAATGATTTCCAAAGATGATTTTTTTTGGCAACCAAGTATGCATTATTGCTGCTTTCCTGCCCAATTTCTTGTTTTCTTCTGCCCTATAATTTCACACCGTGGAAGTTTTCCATCACTTATTTTAGCTAGAATGTGCAAAAAAGTACAAAATAGTTCTACAGAAACCAATACTGTCTCTTCCAAAGGAAAAATGTTGGGTTTTTTTGTTTTTTGTTTTTTTTGCCTAAGCACATATATAGCCTGGCATATATGTGCCCACTGGTCTAGACACCTGACTGATAACTCTGTCTGCTTTACATAAGGGCAAGGAACATTTCTTTAGATACCTGATATGACCCGTTCATGGAGCATAAGCATTATGGATAACAAAGAAAAATAACAGAAGGGGCTCCAGCACATTTTCTAGGGCTTTGTTGACTGTAAAACATTGTGACTACAATAGAATTCTTTCTACAAAGCAGTATTTCTTGAATTCTCAGTTTATGTTATTCAAAGTGTGGTCCAAGGACCACCTTAAATACTGGGATTCTTCTTTAAAAATGTAGATAGTTGGGAATCACTTAAAACTAGTGAATTAGGATCTCTGGGGGTCAAATCCAGGGATCTGAATTTTTAATGAGCTTACTAGTTGAACCTTAAGTGCAGCAAATATTATTTTGTGGTTTCCAATTAAGATGTATAAAGTTCAACCCAGATTAAGCATGTTAGAATATATCTCAAAGTTTTGGAACATATGAAAGTGCCTAAGAGATAGAGAATGTGTTAAACAGCCATTGAGCATCAAAGATGAAAAAGGGAGCAGCCACTTATTACACAAGTATTTATTGTGAGCCTACAAAACTTCAGCCCAGTGTATGGTAGGTTTGAAGGTATGAATTATTGGGGCCTCCTTTTAAGGAGAGTACTGTCTGGTTTGGAGATAGAAGTGAAATGAAAAGCTGCATTTGAAATGGTACTTGCTGGAAAGGTGGTGAGTACACAGAGGAATGAACACTTAACTTTTCCACTTATAGGTGTGATGGATGCTTCAAAGAGCACAGCTGGCCAAATGGGAGGGTGGTATGAGTCAGGGGGCAGGGATGAGCGTTCTTTCAAACAGAGAGAGTACCATCAGAAACGCATAGGTGCTTAAGAATACACATGCTATGGTCAAGGTATGAAAAGACTTTCCTTCTTTTTTTGGTACACTAGAGACTATGTGAAAAAAAAAGTAGTAAAACTGTCTAAAACATTTCAGATCAATGAGATACCTCCTGTATGATTATATGTGTGACCCAAATGCAAGTCAAATTATATGGGGTCCAATTTTAGCAAGAGTCATATTAGAGAAAGCTCTGTTCGGGAACCAAAATTAAGTAGAAAGCAATCCGATATTTATTGAGTAGAAACTTCTCATCTTTTTCTTTTTGCCTTCTTTCCAGTTTTTACAAACTCTGTCATAATTCTGGAGCCTCTAATTAGCTACTTTAAAAACAAACCAAGATGATAAAGAGCATCTACAAATAACTACAGCTAACATTATATTTAATGGTGAAAGACTGAACATTTTCTAACATCAGGAATACTACAAGGAAGTCCGTTCTCACCACTTCTAGTCAACATAGTATTAGAAGTTCTAACCACTGCAACAATAAAATAAAATAAAATAAAATAAAATAAAATAAAATAAAATAAAATACAAAAAAAGGATATAGTTTGAAAAAGAAGAAATAAAAATATCGTTAATTGAGATGACATGGTTATCTAAATCGAAAATTTAAAAAAAAATATTTAAAAAGACCCTAGTTTAAACAGAAAATGAAAAAAAAAATCTTTAAAAATCCTAGCACTAATAAATGAGGTAAATAGTTCTCTATATATTATTATAATGAGCATGCGAAAATCAAAAATAAAATATCAAAACCATTTACAATCATTAAAAAAATGAACTACTTAAATATACACATAACAACCCATGCAAAAGATTTGGATACTGAAAATTACAAGGCGCTGATGAAAAAGAAAAAAAAAACAAAACAAAACACAGAGACCTAAAATTATACATGGAAACACATAGTGTCTTCATGGATTGTTACACTCAACATTGTTGCCATTCTCCTCATACTGATATAGCGTCATGCACTACAGAAGGTCATTTTGTTCAATGCCAGACTGCATATGTGGCGGTGACATCACAGCTGTCATAATGTTGTAGCAAAATATATTAATCACATGTTTTGTGGTGATAGTGGTGTAAGCAAGCCTACTGTGATGCCAGTCATATAAAAGCACACACAATTATGTGTAATACATAATATTTTATCAATAAACAACTCTGCTACTGGTTTATGTATATAATATACTATACTTTTAATTTTAGAGTGTATTCCGTATTATTAAAAAAAAAATGGTTAACTGTAAGACAGCCACAGGAAGGTCCTTCAGGAGGAATTCCAGAAGACAGGGTTGTTATCATAGGAGATGATAGTTCCATGTGTGTTCTTGCCCCTGAAGACCTTCCAGTGGGACCAGATGTGGAGGTGGAAGACAGTGAAATTGATGGTCCTGACCCTGTGTAGGCTGGGGCTAATGGCTGTGTTTATATCTCAATTTTTAACAACAAAAAGCTTAAAAAGTAAAAATAAATAATTTTTAAAATAGAAAAAAAGCTTATAGAACAAGGATACAAAGAAAGAATATATTTTTGCACATCTGTACAATGTATTTGTGTTTTCAGGTAAGTGTTAATACAAAAAAGTCAACAAGTTAAAAAAAAACAACATTAAAAAGTTTATAACATGAAAAGTGAAAGTAAGCTAAGGTTAATTTATTATTGAAGAAAGAGATTTTCTTTTTTATAAATGTAGTGTAGCCTACGTATCCAGTGTTTATAAAGTCTACAGTATTACACAGTAATGTCCCAGCCTTCTCATCCACTCGCCACTCATTGATTGACTCACCTAAAGCAACTTCCAATCCTGGATGCTCCATTCATGGTAAGTGCCCTGTACAGGTGTACTATTTTCTATCTTTTGTACTGTATTTTTACTGTACCTTTTCTAGATATGTTTAGATACCCAAATATTTACCATTGTGACACAACTTCCTACAATGTTCAGTACAGTAACATGCTGTGCATGTTCACAGCCTAGGAGCAGTAGGCTATCACATACGGCCCAGGTGTGTAGTAGGCCATTCCATCTAGGTTTGTATAAGTGAACTCTATGATACTGGATGAAAACTGCCTCACGGCACATTTCTCAGAGCATATCTGTGTCACTAAGTAATGAATAACTGCATAGGTTTAAGGTAATTTCTTTCAAAATCCCAGCAAGATTTCTTGGTTTGTTTTATTTTTATTTTTTATGGATACAGGTAAGTTTATTATAAAATCAATATGTAAGAGAACAGGC